TACATTTTCCAGCAGGCTCCTGTCAAGATTAGATGAGAAGGGGCTGGTGAGATGGCTCAGTGGTCTAAAGCACCTATTTAGAACAAGCTAAGCTAAGCTAAGCAAAGCACGCGGACCACGGTTCAATCCCCCAGCACCACATGCCAGCCAGCCCCGCCCCCTGGTGGGCTGAGCTGGCCACACACACACAAAATAAATAAATAAATAAATTTTTAAAAACCTGCTAAAAAAACTTGAGTCCTCCAGTGTTTGACTGTGTGGTTTTTCTTTTTCTTTCCTTTTTTTTGGGGGGGAGGGGCAAGGTGAAGGCAGTACTGGGTATAGAACCAGATTGTGGTTCGTTGTTGTTTGCTTTTGTCTTTTTGAGACATGGTCTCACTGTGCAGTTCAGGCTGGCCTTAAACTCATTTTGCAGCTCAAGCTGGTCTCAAACTTTTAACAGTTGTCTTGCCTCAGCCTCCCAAGTGTGGGATATCAAGTATGCACCACTCTGCCCTGCAATTTGTTCATTTTGATACTGGATCTCACTAAATCACTCAGTTGCCCAGGCTGGCCTCAAACTTGTGATTCTTTTGCCTCAGTTCCCCTATATTAGTCAGTGTTTGCTAGAGAAACAGATGTTATGCAAGATATACAATTATATCAGAATTTACAACATTGGCTTACAAGGGCCACCCATCACAGAGTCAGATGTCTAAAAAGAGTACAAAGGGTCTGTCTGCACACTGGAGACCACAGGATTCTGTCAGAGGCCTGGCGCTCGCTTCAGGGTCCTGTGCATGTCTTGTTTTTGTTTTATGCTTTTTTAAAAAATGTATTTTGTTTGTTGCAGGGTCTCACTACGCAGCTCAGACTGGTGGGGGGTCCGCCTGCTTTCAGGCTCCCCAGCACTGAGATTACAGGCGTGAGCCACCCATGATGAGATAATGTAAAACTGAATGTAAAAAATTACTCTGCTCAATTTTCTGTGACCCTGCTTCCTTGTAAGACCGCAAGGAGGCTTGGTGTACCATTGATAAATCACCAATAGACCGAGTTCCCAGAAAAACAATGCTCCCAGAAAAAGTGTATACTGAGTAATGGTCATGCTGTCCCTAAAGGTACTGCTCTATGTTAAATGACAAATTTGTTTGCCAAACAGGATACGGTTTATTCCTTTAAAACCTCTATATTTCTAAGGCTCCTGGCCATTTGTCCTCTCCTGTGTGAGTATGGTTAAGCGGTCCTGGGACCAGTAATAAAAGGCTCATATTTTAATGTTAATTTGGACTTAGGTCTAGTTCCTATGTTGAGAACCCATAACACCACCATGCCCACTCTGGCCAGGCTGGGATCCAACGGCAGGACTTTAGTCCTCTGAGCTCTCTCTCTGGCCCTTGTTGTCTTTCTGAGACAGGGTCTCGCTATGAAGTTCAGGCTGGCCTTGAGCTCACTATGTAGGCTGGTCTCATACTCGCAACGATCCTCCTGCCTCAGCCTCCCAAATGCTGGGATTACAGGTGTGCGCCACAATGCCTCGCTGCCTTGTTTTGTTTCTGTGCATGTCTATATCAGGAAATCCATGGGTCTGCAATGGAAAGCCGGAGTCTCAAGCTCTCAAGTATTAATTTATTACATAAAACCATTTAAAAGATACCATAATTTTGCCACACACTTTTGGGCTTATTTTAATTTCTAATATCCCTAGAGCTCCCCCAAAATCGCTGAATTCCATACTGCTGCCAGTAGGTGTGCTGGGAATGTATTATGTACCTGACTCTTTGCTAACACTGCAGGCTACTCACAAGCCTACTTAAAGGCACTATAATTATCACTATTTGAAGGATGAAGAAGCTGAATTGAGAAACTGTCGGATCCCTTAGAGCTTCTAAGCGACTGGGCCATCTCTAATCAGGAAAACTTATCAACCGACTCTAGCTCTCAGTCACTCAGACGCTCGCAGGCTTTTAAGGACCTAAAGGTGGGTGGCAGCTACAGAGGACTTCAAGGACAAAGGACTAACCGGAGGGCCGGCCCTTCTCCTCCCCCCTCCCGCCTCCTCGCCTAACCTAAGGTCGCCCTTCCCGAGGCGCGCAGAGACCCCCGCCGGGACCCGCCGCGCTGCGCACGCGCGGCCGCAGAGGACGGCGGGAGAGGGGCGGGGCCGCCGGGCCGCCGGGCTGGGAGGCGCGTGCGCGCGCGGGCTGAGCGTTCTCCGGAGAGAAAGTAGTAAGCTTCCTTCTGCGGCTCTCGGGCTTTACTCCGGCGCGCTTCCAGAAAGGGGCCGAGGTGCTCTTGCGGGAGAGAGGGGGTTGAGCTTGGCAGGGCCGGGATTCCAGGACGCAGGCCCGAGTCTCGATTCTGCAGCCTGGGGGTCGGGATCCGCAGGCCGAGCCCGGCGGCGGCCGGCCACGTTGCCCCTTCCATCCTCCGCGGAGCCCCGGGCCCAGCGCCCTCGCCCCCGGCCACTCGGTCTGCGGCTCCCGCGCCCTAACGGGAGCGGCTTTGCCTTCTGAAGCATTCATTCAGCCAGTTGTACTTGTGATTCCCCTTAAGCGGTGATTTTTCTAATCAAAAAAAAAAACAAAAAAAAAAAAACCGAGAACAGCTTTTGCATACAGAATTGTGTATGGGACTCCAGCTGAAAGGGATAAAGTAGTTCTCTTGGATTAGGATTTGAAACTCGGATTAGACGAAGGTGCGGTATTTGGCTTTATGGAGAATGAAGCCACACGTACACAAGCGTTTGCAAACGTAATTTAATCAGCGTTCTCAGGATGTAGTGTCAGCCCACTTTTCAATTAAACCAGAAGCTTCATAATACCGGGAATGCGGGCGTGGGAGTGGGAATGTGGTTCAGTGGCAGGATGCTTGCGTAGCAGGTGGGAGGCCCAGGGTTTGGGCCATAGCTGTGCCCCCCCCCAAAAAAAAAATCCAAAACAATGAAGTGGACAGTTTTAGCTTTAAGAGATACTTGGTATTAACTTGTATTCCTCATCACAGATATATAATCCCCCAATGTTTAGAGCAAGGCCTTTCTTTTATAGCACTCCCCATTTTAACTTTTAGATTGAGGCAGAAGCATTCAAGGAGTTACTTGCTAACGTAGTGAATTTAAGTCTAGTTTATGTGGGTGACCATATGCCTAGTATGTATGAGCCCCAGGGTTCCATTCCCAGCAAAACACACACACACGTAATAGTAGTAGTAAGTATAATGAAAACAAATAAGAGGAGTCTTTATCTGTTTGGGGTTTTATTTATTTATTTATTTATTTTGTGGTGTTCTTACCGTACTACTCTCTTCTCTCCCTCCTCTTTCCTTTTCCTGCTGGGAACTTAACCCGGGTCTTTACCATGCTAAGTACGGGCTCTACATTGAAATACCTCCCCAGGACTACTCTCGGTTCTTGATTTGTACTTGAGAATTATGTTGCAAGCTCCACAAAAATCCATACAGGGATTTTGATCCACAGCTAAATTCAGGGAAAGTTGGCCAAAAAGTTGAGTCTTTGAATAGCATTGTATATCTTTTTTTTTTTTTTTTTTTCTTTTGGCCAAACTCCATTTATTTTGATCTTCCTTAATTTCTCTTAATAGTGTTTTGATTTCAATATACAAGTCTTAACCTTTTTCATTAGGTTTATTTCTATATTCTATGGGGTGTGTTTGTGTGTTACGTACTCCTGGGGATGGAAACCAGGACTTTATGAGTGCTAGTCAAGCTCTGCCACCAAGCTACATCCCAGACCCTGTGTTGATATTTATAATGTTATAGAAAACTTTTTAAAAAAATTTTTTAGTTGTAGTGCAGAGAAATACAATCAATTTTTAAATGTTGACCTTGCTAAATTTGATTATTTACAGTTTCCTGTGGATTTTCTCTGTATACAATCCTGTGAATAAGGGCAATTTTGTTTTTCAAGATTTGCCTTTTTTCTTCCATTATTGACTGAAAGTCCTCTTACTACGGTGTTGAAGAGACATAGTGTGAGGAGAAGTTCTAAAATACCAACCCACCTTACTTGTGGAGGATGCTTCTTTTGGTACCAAAAATCAAACTGGGGACCTTGCGCTTGGCAAGCTGGGGCTCATGCTGCTGAGCTATCCCCAGCCCTGTGAAGGGGAGGACTCCCAGTGGATTCCTGAAGCCTAGAGCAGAAGGAAGCGCTTTGCAGCTGCTCCTTGGCATATCTGAATGGCCAACATTGCTGCTCCTCCACGTTAAGTAAAATAAGTGTTACTTGAACACAAGTATTGTGACAGCACGAAATAGTTAACCTGCTAACCTATAAGGGGCTACGGGAAGACAGACCCTTTCAGTGTACTTTTGTTTTTTCATTTATGTATTTGGTACAGGGTCTCACTACACAGCTGGACTCATATTGATCTTCCTGTTTTCAGCCTCTACAGCGCTGGGATTATAGGCCCGTGCCACAAGGCCCAGACTCTGTTGTGGGCTCAGCACGCCGCAGGGGCAAGGCCTGCAGGGCATGCAGCACCCGGATGAACCCTGGTCCCTAAACTTGCCAAAGCAGGCGCTTAGTCCACTGAGCTATCTCACCGGCCCTTCTGCGTAGTTTAAAACTTCAGAATTGTTTATTAAAACTAATGAATTGTGTACTTTTGAAATTATTTAATACTTTCACACCATAGCTGACTTCAGATAATTGAAGCCAAGGAAAGTGAAACTTAAGGAAGAGTACTATATTTACTATATTCTGTTAGTTTCTTTTTAAGGTAGGTTGGGGGAAGAGTCTCTAGAATTTCTATATACATATGCTTATGTTACCTAAAAATAAAAACTTCTCTGGCTCTTCTGCCAAATTCTCACCTACTATTTCAGTTTAGCTTAAAGAATTTCCTTTAACATTTCTACAATATAGGTTTGCTGGTGATAAATTTTTTTGAAAATGTCTTTGTTTCACTTTTTTTTTTTTTTTTTTAAACCAGGCTCACTGTGCAGTTGAGACTGATCTTCAACTTGCTGTGTAGGCCTAGCTGGGCTCAAATTCGGATTCTTCTGCTTTGGCCTCCAGAGTGCTGGGATTACAGGTGTACACCACCACACCCAGCTTAGATAGAATTTTCCATAGTACTTTATTGCTATTTTTGCAGTTTTATAGATTAAATCTAAGGTCATATGCATGTTAAACATGTTCTTATCCTCCAGCCTCATAATTTTGAATCTCTGGTTTTTTAAATTTTTTTGGTTTTGTTTTCAGCACTACTGAGTAAACCAGGATTTTTGCACTGAATTACAATCCCCGCTTCCACACTCTTTTTTTCCTTCTTTCTTTTGAAGCAGGATCTTGATGAATTGCCCAAGCTGGGCTCAGATTTTAAGATTTCCTTCCTCAGCCTCACAAAGTATTAGAATTGCCAATCTGTGCTATGTCACACTCAAAGCTTTATTTTTATTGGACATAGAGTTTAGATTTTTTTTTTTTTTTTTTTTTTTTTTTTTTTTGGTGGGGGGAGTCTGCAGGGTGTTCAGGGTCTCACTACTAGATAGGTAGAATTTTCTATAGGACCTCATTACTGTTTTTGTGGTGCTATACATTAAATCTATGGCTATGCATGTTAGACATGTTCTTATACTAAGTTGTCCGACCTGACTGAAAACTCGCAATCCTCATGCCTTGGCCTCCCAGAATGCTAGGATTGTGGGTATATACCACCATACTGGCTTTGTTTTTGTTTTTAGTCAGTTTGGGGATTTTTTTTTAAATTATTGGCTCATACATTTATACTGTAGTTTGTATTCTGCTTGTGATGGATGCAAATTCTTATCTAGGTGTAGTTCCTTCAGGGAACTGTTATTTCATATAGGCAGGCAGACAGCAAATTACATTGCCAGTGTTGAGCGTTGGCTTTTTGGTTTGCTTGTTTGAAATTGTGGGGATCAAACCTATCCCTTATACAAGGTAGACAAGTGCTCTGGCCCTGTACTGCACGCAGCCTTGACAGGGTGATGGTGTTAGAGGGTTGGTTTTAGACTTTGGTTGAGATGGTCTATTTTGCTTTGCCATTCCTTAGAGGAAATAGTCTTGTTGCCAGGGTAGGGCCCCCCTAGAACTTCTACTGAAAGGTCAAGTCTTAGGAGTATGGGGCCTGTATCTAGGCCTTTCTCACTGAACTACGTCCCCACTTTTTTTTTTGCGGAACCAGGGATTGAACTCAGGCCCTTGCGCTCGCCAGGGAGGTGCTTATTCCACTGAGCCATCTCCCTGGCCCCCCCCCTTTTTTTTTTTTTTTTTAGACAGGGTCTTGCCATGGAGTTCAGAGCAGTCTTAAACTCACTATGTAGGGGCCCGAGCGCTTATTCTACTGAGCCATCTCCCTGGCCCTACCAAAAAAAAAAAAAAAA